GGGAAGTACAAGGCCCTCCCCCCTCTGCCCAGGTGTAGTAAGGTGTGCATCCACACAGACTAGACTTCCAAAAAGTCAGTCCATGCAGTAGAATCTAAATCCAGTGCTTCTAAATCAGCTCTCATTGTCAGTCACGTTCAGAGAGTCCTATTTGATCACGTGCTCATTCAGTCCCAGTCCAGCAGGCCTTGGTGAGCTCCCATTAGATCAGTCCCACCGTCTCAGTGGGTGGACGCACCCCTCACAGTCCTGACTTCCTTGTTCATGTTCTCCCTCCTTCTGCTCTTCATTTGGACCTTGGGAGCTCAGTCCAGTGCTTCAGTGTGGGTCTCTATCTCTATCTCCATTCATCTCTGGATGAACATTCTATGGTGATATGCAAAATATTCATCAGTGTGGCTATTGGATAAGTCCAGTTCAGGCACCCTCTCCTCTCTGCTCCCGGGTCTAGCTGGCGGCATCTCCTTGGATACCGGGAACCCCTCTAGAGCGAAGTCTCTTGTCTACACTAAAATGGCTCCCTTAATTAAGATATATTCTTCCCTGCTCCCATATCCACTCTTAATCCATCTCAACCATCCCTTTCCCCAAGCTCTCTCCAATCCTCCCCTTCTCCCTTCTCTCTCCCCATTTCCCTTTACCCCCACCCCACCCCCACCCCCGTGCTCCCAATTTTTGCCCAAAGATCGCTAGGCAAAAGTTCATGTTTATCTTTGCACTACCTCTGTGCTGGTGACTTCACAACAAGAAGAGGGTGGTGGTTCCCTAAGACTGGAATTACAGACTGTTGTGAACTGCCTTGTGGATACTGGAAACTGAAACCAAGTGCCTGGGAAGAGCAGTCAGTGCACTTTTCCGTGGAACTATCTCTCTAGCCCCTTGTTTTATTTTATATAAATGGTTCTTTTGCTTGTTTATTTGACTGTGCACCACAAAATATTCAGTGCTCACGGAGGTCATAAAAGGTCATCAGAACTGCGGATCTGGAGGTAGAGAAGGTTGTGAGCTGACATGTGGTGCTGAGAATTGAACTCAGTGTATCTGGAAGAGTAAACAGTACTCATAGCCACTGTGTCATTTCTCCAATCCCTCGTTTATTTTTTTAAAGTAGATTCCATGATTCTAATTCTTTGACGAATCTCTGAAAAAATCATGAGTGGGAAGGCTGAGATATTAACTCTGCAGTAGGCAATTTTCTATAATGTACATGACTCATGGCTTGAATACTACATTATAAATTAAACTAACTTTAAATTTTGCATTAAATTTAGTGGATCTAGTGTTTCCTAATGATCATAGTCATATACTGATTAAGAAAAAGTAGGCACAAATAAAATTACTGTCTCTCACATAATGGCAAGAGGGATGATCAGGTTAAAGTGATTGTTGCTAAACTTGGTGATTGGTATATGATTCCTCAGACATTGTGGATGGTAAGAACTGACTCCTGAATATTGTACACTTGCACATAGACTTCTCAAACACACACACACAAACACACACACAAAGAGGGAGAAATTTCATATGTACACATAAAATAATATATGTACACATAAAATAAAATAAAATTAAAAATTCTGATTTTCTAGAAATAAGTAGTCAGAACATGAACATTTTAGCATAATCATACAATATTTCATGTTTGTTATTTTTATTTTTTTAATAATAGGTTTATTTTTTTATTTATGTGCATGTGTGTTGGAACATATATGTTCTCACCCACGGAGCATAGAATATGTGTCAGATCCCCTAGAACTGGAGTTCCAGTGCTTCTCATCTTCCTGTCATGGGTGCTGGGAACTATTCTGAGTCCACTAGAGGAGCAGCAAGTGCTGTTAAACACTGAATTGTCTCTTACCTTCTTTCCTTCTGAGATAGTCACATGTATTCAAGACCGGTCTTGAGCTCACTATGTAGCCAAGTCCGGCCTTGAATTCATGATCCTTCTGCCTCCAACTGCTGAGTGCAAGGAATGCAGAAATGCATCAACATATTCAACCATGCAGGATTAATATAATTTTATACATTAAGTAATATTAAGGACTGAGAAAGTTTTGAATAAAAGTAATGAAATAAACCAAACTGAAATATCCAAGACAGAGTTTAAACAGAAAGCAATTAGATTTATGGTCCTTTTTATGACCAGAGTATTTATTGCCTTCCTTTAGTACTTTCTCAGTCCTTAATAGTTAAACTTTCCATTCTCCTTTCTACATGTTATACTGTACCCACATATACACTTATTTGTATATGCACATATTCCTACTTGTATGTAATGCATTTTGATCATATTTACCTCTGTCATACCCATGACATCCCCTTTCACATTCTCTGGACCATTTACTAATGTTTCCTTCTTGCTTTCATATCATACTGAAGATAAGTCAGTGATTTTATTTATGACTACTTGCATGTGCACAGATGTGGGCTTATTTATTGGATGTACCAGGACAAACACACAGACACACACGCACACACACACACACGCACACATCCTTAGTATCTTAGGACTTGACATATTGCCATACTGAGAACAGGAGACCATTTGATTAGGCTTTACCTTACATCAGTGTGGGAGTTGCACACTGTTTTTATTGCTGGTAACTGAAAATAGTTGATCAGGTAGGGGTTGGGCAATTCTTTAATCCTTTACCAAAAATAATGGTTATTTATTAAACCATTATTAACACAAGAGATTAAAGTGATTTGACTGAAGCTTTCCACAATTTACAAAAGATCAAAACCCAACATTGTAGACAATAAATACACATATTATTAAATCATTATAAAAACCAAATATATTTAAACTGAAAAAGCAAATAGGATAATTTTTTTCCAAGAATTCCACAAGATTACAAATGAGACATATCCCCAAATTTAAACTCAGAAATTTCATACAATGAAATGCTAAAAAGATGAGAAATTTCCATAAGGTAAATAAATGAAGCATTAACATGATTCACTCTGTTTTATTGTGACCATTTTTCAAACTTCCTTTATAACATGAGCAACATAAGGCAAATAGCTTTTTGTTTTATATATAATTCATATTCTAGATGCAAAATTATTAATATATTTTGATGATAATATTCAAACACTTTAAAAGCAGTAGACTACTGGAAGATACTCAGGAAAATGCACTGTTTCATGTTCTGCAGGCAAAAGAGACCCGTGAGACCCTGGTATCAGTGAGAATGAGCACATAGGGGCTGAATGCTGGAAAACAAGATGCCAGCAAGACAGAGCTGTTCACTACCCACTGACCATGTTTTCCAGCATGAATCATCCTTAGCACCAAGCTAATGTAGACAGAATAGAAGGCTGTAAAGAAACACACCAGAATCAGAATTCTACATGTGGCTCTGTCTTCATGGGAACAACTAGAGGAGAAGCTGTATGAGTGAATGTGCTGAACTCTCTGCTTGTGTCTGTGAAGCACAACAATCACCAATATGCTAGCCCAGGACATAAAAATCAAACTTATCATATCAGGGGAAAAGTATAGGAGATTACATAGGAAGACACATCCAGTAGGTATTGTCCAGGAACAATAACCACCATTGCTTTCTACACTGGCATTTCTCTCAATGCCATTCAATGGACCATTCACTAGAAATGGAAGAAATAAATTCATGAGGAGATGTAGGAACCAGGTCAAGAGACAGCAGTAGCCAATGAACTCTTGGGATTGTATTTTGAGTGCAATCCACCTACACATTCTGGGTTTGAGCTTAATGGCCTGGAATCCATTGAAGAGACAGATAGTGCTGACTGACACCCCAGTGCCAACTCTATACCAGTAGAAGACAAGTTTGCAACTTGTATCACTCAGGAAACATTTCCATCCCAATGTTAGCAATGTCTGTGGAATACCCTTAGACAACAAAACTATTAAGTTGGCCAAAAGTAGTTGACTGAGAACCAAATCTATAGGTCTCATGTGACTTCCAGTGAGCAGAGGGAAGATATACAGAAGGAAGAGGGAAGAATTTCCCATGATCCCAATGACAGTCTGTATGAGGAAAATAAACCCCATATTCAGACTTGCAGAGTACATTTTGTCATCCCCAAGAGGATACTGGTTTTAATAGAGTCAGGAAAATGAAGGAGTTAAGCAAATTAAAATTACTGCATGACACTCATGCTTCTCTCAGTATTTATATACTTTTTGTATTCTCACTTAAATAGCCATGGAATATTTACTGTGCAAGGCTCAACTCAATGAAGACGGGTATTTTTGGTTCCCTCAGTATCTATTAGGTCTACTTAGTTCAGAGTACTGTGGTCCACACCTGAAGGAATACCTAATGGAGAAGTTGTTGCAAGGAGGGCCTGCTTGTTCATCCTGGCCTCCTGGCTAGCTTAGCCCCGAAATAACCACACAGAAACTGCATTAATTATATCACTGCTCAGCCCATTAGCTCTAGTTTCTTATTGGCTAATTCTTACATCTTAATTTAACCGATTTCTTTTAAACTGTGTATCACCACGCAGTAGTGGCTTACCAGGAATAATTTGGCACATCTATTTCTGGTGGCCGATCCATGACATTCCCCTCACTCTGCTTTCTTCTTCCTAGAATTCAGTTCTGTCTTCCCTGCCTACCTAAGTTCTGCTCTATCAGGCCAAGGAAGTTTCTTTATTCATTAACCAATACAGGCAACACACAGAGGGTCTCCACAACAGGAAGCTTTTTGTACTGACATGGATTCCTGCTTAGAAGATTTGCTACAGGGCAGTGAAAAGATACAGGAACTGTAAACAAATATTTCTTTCTTGAACTAAAGTTTGAACTTATAAATATAAGAACAAGGTTATACTGGGTGGAAGGGTAGAAAATAAGCTTTACAATGTGATATGATGTATGACATAAATGTATAAAATATTCTTACAGTCACCTAGAATATTATGTGATACCATCACATGAAAATGAACAACTTTAAAATGTAAGGAAAAAATAATTTAATCAACTCTTACAGATTTAATGTATATGAACTTACCAGAAATAATTCAGATAATTCAAGACCCACAGGTATCCATAAAGTAAAAATCTGTAAAGAGAAACAGTGAATCATTGTCCTCAGTCATACTTGCATTTCTGCAGCTAGGAATGTGTAGAGTGTTATTCACTATTGGTGAACAAAACTTTTGAGAATAATCCAAAGGAAAATATAAGACTATGAGGCCAAAGAGCTCAAGGAATCCCAAATATTCTTCATTAATATAATTTCAAATATAAAATTTAAGGAAATATCTGGTATTTATCTTCAGTGAAGTAGAATAGAGAGTATTGACAGCTCTATATTATTCTTTCCAAAAAGGTAAGTGTAGTGAAACTTGTTCAAAATGTTTTCAAAACTTTTCATCAACTATGGAATTTGAAAAGCTTAACATCATGTCATCAGGAGGTGAATATCACCCCAGAATAACTCGTGTAGCTATTAGAACTCTCATATACATGTTCACATTCTTCTGTTGCTACCAAGACAGTTCAGGCTGTGTGATGTCCCTCTTATCACTTGCTGTATGTGACTCTTCATACAGCAAAAAGATGAGTAAGCATTGCTGAGCAATTGAAGTCAAATGACATAAACAGGGCAGAGAAGGAAATGAGAGGAAGGGAAGGAGTAGGGTGGATGGGGAGGCAAACGCTGAAATGAAGATAAGTAAAACAGCTGGCTCAGGAGAGGAATTTTAAAGTTTGCTCTAACTCTGGTTCTGGAAGACAAACCTGGAGTAATAAAGTTGTACCCATAACTCAGGGCAGAAATTCACAGTGCATAAGGGTCAAGATTCTGCCGATCACAGGAATCTATGGAGACAGAGGGATAAGTGACATTAGTGTCATAGGCCTCACACAAAGATGGGAACCTGCTCACCCTGCGGCGTGTTTGGTAGTAATAGCGTTTTAAGTTTCTGAAAAATTTCTAGAAGAGCTAGAGTAACATTGATAGTAGAAAGAAAATGAAACCAAACTGACCAAACTTGGCTACAAACCAATATCAAGATTAATTTTAGCACTGACTTATTAAAATAGTTTCATGAATTCTGTCTTTCTTCCCACAATACCACTTCTGCCAAATAACCATTAACAACCTGTGTTTTATGGAAATCTTTTACTTCTTTAACATGGAGAAATTAATGAGCTATCTTGACTTATTCACAAATGTTACCTTTCCTTTAAAGGAACATAAATTTTAGAGATACAATTGCAGAATCCCTTGACCCACATTTTTTTAAAGCTGTTGAAAGTAAAAGCAAAAGCAGGAATACATACCAGTCACTCCCCTGCAGGCCCATGTGACTCCATAACAAGTTTGAGGTTATCCTCTGTACAATGACATCATCATGTGTTAGCTATGAAATCTTAGTGTGGATAGAGTGACAATGCCATCTTTTGTCTTGGATAAATGAGAACAATTTTTGGCAAGGATATAACAATGAGAAGAGTAAAGATTCTGTTTTGGCACTGTGCAGGTAGTAAGTGGTAATATGACAGGGATTTTCTAAAAGATGTCTATCCAGTATCGTTCTTTCTTTTCCCAAGCACTCTGTCCACCTCTGTGCCTCCACCCCTCTTATTTCTGTGTGTTGCCCTGTTCACAGTGCTATATTCTTGAAGCATGATTAATAGAAGCTCAGGGAGAGAAATTAGATTTCAACCTGAAGATCCAAACAGCAAAACAGCAAGCCACTGACACTTATCTCGACCTCAGTCTGTAATTGCAGTCCTGCCTCTTGGGATCTCAGGAGAATGTGTCTGTGAGAACTGTCTTGCCCCATCTTATATTCCTCTCTAGGGCTGAGTTTAAAAGTGTGCACCACTGTCATTAAAGGCATCCACTACCCAGTTTCTATGGCAACTAGTGTGGCTACTGAGATTAAAGGTGCATCCTACCTTTAATTAAAGGTGTGTGTTATCACAATCTGATCTGTAAGGCTGACCAATGGGACTGTTTTACCCTCAGATCTTCAGGCAGCCTTTATTTATTAAAATATTTTTGAAATGCCACTATATATAAGCTCACAGATTTATATTATATTCTAAGACATACAGACTTAATTTTCTGCACCCATATGAACCATATCAAACCTCTGCAACAGAAAGGTATATACAGGGTAACCATGGAGGATGAGTACTCAGGGAAACATCATATTTCATACACAGTTATTTCATATATTTGGAATTGGTGTCATGCCTGTACTGTGATTCTGACTTTCCTGATTGGTACATTTATGAATCAATTTGAACAGCTGTGAAAAATGTGCACAGATTATGAATTTTTTTGAAACCAGACATATGTTCATTCATAGTCAGCAGGCAGACAATATCAAATTACTCAAATCTATATAAAAACCATGAAGGACCTGCTGGTGTTTCCTCTTGTCATCAGTGGAGGCTGTTGAAAGAAATTTTTAAAAAACTTAAGCAAATATGTAAAAAGCACTTCACACACACACACACACACACACACACACCAGACTTAAACACACTCCCTTAAGTCACCTCTGAAGATTCCAAATATTTGACAAACAAAACACTGAGACCAGAATAAATAATCGACCATATGTTTTGTAATGTCCATACACCTGTAATGTGAGATATTAGAAATATAAAATTAAAATTTATCACACTGATAGCCTCATCAAATACCTACCTTTGAATGAATGTTATCCAGGCATTGTCTGCTAGGTTGCTGTATGCAGATGTGGAATGGAGCCTCTGATATAGGTTTGGGATTGATTGATCTTATTTCCTCAGGGGGAGGTGATAATTTTCCCTGTAAGTTTACTGACAACATCTGTAAAGGGACCTGAGATTTTCTGCAGAAGATTCTGTGTACTGTATAAGTCCCCTGCTGCTACTGAAAATGAACATTAATGATGCCCATCAGGAGGTGAAGAACTGGTTTCCTGAGATACAACCTCAAAATACACAATAATGACACAGAGTTTATGAAGACCTCAGAGAATGTCTCATGAGTGCTACAAGAAGTTGAGCACAGAACTCTGACTGAGTCTTCATTATCTTGGTATTCAGGGATTCATGGTAATTTTGAGAATTCCCAGACCATACCATCTCTCTTCAGCTTGCAGAAGTCACACTATATCAATAATTCCTCCTAGAGTTTGGTGGCTAGTGAAGATGTGTAATCAAGGAGACTTCCAAGATGTCTCTATGCCATGGAGATGTTTACATATGGTTTCAGAATGATGCCTTTATGATGTCATGGGATTCCATACATGGAGAAGGGAACATTGTTAAATGGATGATGGAAAGCTTGCAGCTATGGTTTGTAGAGATGCCTTGTATGAAACAAAGACAATAAAACTCCATTTACCTGATATGTGAAGATTGAAGTGTGTCTTGGCTAGAATCATGCTTGATAAAGGATATAAAGGTTTGTGGATCAGTTTAGAACTCAGTTTGATAAGTGGAGAAAAAAATAGGAGGAACATGGGTAGGATGAAAAGATGTAGAAGAAGAAGTAAAAGAAGGGAAAGAAGGAGAAAGAGAAGAAAAAGCAGAAGAGGATGAGAAAGAAGGAGAAGGAGGAGGAGGAGGAGGAGGAGGAAGAGGAGGAGAAGGACGAGAAGGAGAAGGAGAAAATAAGTGAAGGAATAGAGTTCTCAAACATACAGGCTTTCCAACACCAGTTTCATTAGAGTTGGCACCTCATGACTCTTAAGAGTATTAGAATTTGGTTTCTGTTAGGAAAGAAGAGACAATAGTAACAACATATGTAAGCCCTTAGAGGCACACAAGTGTTTAGGTCCCTTCCCTGAAGAACTCCAACTGTCATGCTATACCTACAGGACACTCTAACTGCCCTACAGGTGGAATGATCCACCACAATACAGAGTAAAAAGTCCAAGAACTGGACTTGAAATCCTAACAATCCTCATCCTGGAAAGCTCTGTCCCCAAAGAAACTGTGTGAATCTTGACTTCTAGTCATTTCTTTGCTATTTCTTGCTCTTGCAGAGGCATCCACCTTCCTATTTTGTCCCTTCCAAAAAATCTCTTGGGTTGACTGTTTATGCTGTGACTTTGTGATATTCCTTGGTTTCCAACTGCTAGGATACCTTTCCATCCTAGCTATAATGCTTACAATTTAGCTCCATTTAAATTCCTATGACCCAAAGCCTTCTTGATTCTAGGCACAGTTCAGCATCCGGCCTTCATATATCATGCACAGATTATATTTAGGACCATCTCATGTCTGAACTTTGAAAACAAGAATTCTGAATGCTTTACAGAAAGTTACTCTTTCACTAACATATCTTTGTCCCCAAAGGCCACAGTAAAGCCACCATTCGTCTCAGCAACGTTTTATCGGTATTGACTTCTAGACATGATAGTATTTGACTTGCACTCACCGAATCTCTCCTGGCAGAATTGCTATGTATATGCTGTAGAAACCTTGGGCTACTGAGCCATGGATCTTGAAAGACAATGTGTTCCTTCTATTGTGTAACTGTTTACTTTGTAACCTAAAACTTCCATTCCTCAGGAATCTTCCTTAATCAGTGTCACAGCACTGTGAAGAGACCCCCATGACCATAAGAACTTTTAAAAAGGTAAAAAAAAAACTTAATTGGGATTGGAATAGGCTTTGAATTTCAGGCATTATTATCATGCTGTAATTCATGGTTTCCCATAGGCAGACATGGTGTTTGAGATGGAGCAGAAAATTCCATATCTGAATTGGCAGGCATCAGGAAGGGTAAGGGACACTGGGCCTGGCTTGAGCATTTGAAACCTCCATGCTTACCCCAGTGACACACTTCCTCCAACATAGTCACACCTACTCCAACAAGACCACACCTCATACTAGTGCCAATTCCCCAATTGGGGGAATTTCATTCATGCCACATTCAAGCAGGAAGTTAAACAACTTAAAACAGCTTCAGAAACTCCCAGACACTGAAAAGATTTACTAGTTCCTATCAGAGTAAGCAATAAAAGTTGAGAAACTCTTTTTCAAATGTCAAGATGCAAAGACCCTTGATACCAGACTTACTTCTGGAAGCACAAAATTCCAGCAATATTGAATAGAAGAGTTTTGAACCACCATAGGAACTTGGAAATCATACTCTCTAACCTGTTGAACTTTATGAAGGCTACACCTTGTATTCCAGGTGGCTTACTCTTGTAAGTTGTCACCTAAGCTGGAAAGCTGGTGTAGGTTCTCATGATGCTGCTGTCTTTGAATCATTTCTGTTCCTTGTAAGTAACTCCTCATTCAAATGATGGTAAATAATCCTAATAAAAACAAATTTTATGAAATTGGTCTTTGGTGTTATCCATACTATGATGTGTCATGGTATCCCTTTATTTCATATATCCTTAGGAAATCTTTTGATACACTCCACTAGCACTTCGTTAGACCACCATTTCCCTTTCCCAAGTCTTATTATCAGATCCACAGATAAATATAGGTAACACCTTTCATCAAAAAAGCATCTCTTTTCATCAAATGACACCATTACTGAAAAACCACAACTGTACACACTGCAGAGATTAACAAATTTAGAGAAGGCACTTCTTGTAGCCAGATTTACACTACATCACAGGTCCTGCATCTAAGGATCAAAGAACATCACAGAAGAGTGAGGACAGAAAGATTATAAGAGCAGGAATACCAACCAAAAAGATTGCTGTGAAGCTGTGTCTCACATAAATGTCTGTATTAATAAGCTCTAAATAATACATCATCAAGTAAATTTGAATGGGAGAAGATCTGATGCAGTCCCACCCTTGGACAAGGAGTTATAGGCTACTGGTCACAACAGAAAGGAGGAGAGTTAGCTTCTCCCAGGGACAAGCCCCTTAAATGATTGTCTAACAAATAGTGGACATCCTTGAATCATACATGCAGAAACATTAAAAATAGACTTAGGAAGTTGCATTCATATACTTGCTTATACACACACACACACACACACACACACATACACATATATTCTTGTAACAATAGTAATTAGGGAAGAAGAAACTATCAATGTTGGAAAGGCGTGACATGGAAAGAGTTAAAGAGAGGAAAGTTGAAAGAGAATGGAGCAGAGAAGGGAAGAGAGAAAGTGATAAAATTCTATATTACTTCAAATGTATTAAAAAAATAAGACCCCCAAATGGTGATAAGCTTATTTAAAATAAAAGCACATTTGATTCAAGTAGTCTTGTCTTAAATTTGGGTCTGTTGCATAGAGATAAATGATAGTTATAACTAATAAAGATAGAGGGTTACTAAAGTAGATTAAAGAAAATGATATCATTGGCCTCTTTGAGCAATTTAGAACGTTTGAAAATATGTGACATGTTTTGAAATCAAATAATGAGATACAATTCTATTTATCAATATATAAATAACATACAAGTTAGGTGAACTATATTCCTTTACTGTATCCCTAAATTCTACCTTTTATAAGTTATACTCCTGATATTCCTCAGAAACGGAATGTTCTGGAAGGTAGTATACAAAACTTGCACATACTCGGAATTGTATCATATTATTTATTGTGTTTTGTCATGTTTTTATTTACTTATTTTATGAGATTTTGGGGTAATAATCATGTGGTATGTGTGTGTGTGTGTGTCAAAAGAAAACTGGCAGGAGTTGGTTCTCTTCATACACCAAGTTGGTCTTGGTAGTCAAATCAAATTTTCCACCTTGAAATCATTGCATTTTTCTCTAGATCATCATTATTAAATCTTTATGTATATAATGTTACTATTATTACCTACATTTCTTTCTAAATCAGTCTTCTATTCAACTCGCTAGTGCTGTAAATGTAAAAGGGAGCAAATTCAATTATTCATAGAGGTTAAAAACTTGCTTGGTTAATTAAAAATCTGCACTGTTAGAAGTAAAGGGGATACCTTTTTGCTGAGTTGTAACACATTTAATAACATTTTCAATAGACAAGTATTTTTCTTCATTTATTTCTGGGCCTCTGGTGAGATAGTAGTTGATCAGGGAAGAAAAAGCTATACACCTCATGTTTTCTAGGAAAAAAAGAGAGGAGAGGGGAAATGGCCAGCATCCTAACATCCTCTTCAAATCAACGTACTAATTGGCCCAAGTTCTTACTACTAGACTCTACCTTGTGGCATTTCCACTATCTTCAAATAACACTGCAGGCTGGTGACCAAAACTTTAGCACATGGGGCTTTGAATTATGGGGGATGGGAACAGATTGGGTTGGGAGGATCAGGGAAGAAAGGACAAAAAGGAAACTACAGCCAGGATGCAAAATAAATGAATGAATGAGTTCATTCAAAATAATTAAATGAATGAGTTAAAAATAGCAGACCAAGCTCATGCAGTGGCTTAGCACTAAAGTTCCTGTCCAGTGTACTCAAGATCCTGGAATCAGTTTCTAATACTTCAAAATACAAAGAGGGAAAAAGTGACATTGCCTTGTGTGCACAAGACAGTTGTAAATGCTGAAGAGGATGAGTAAGGAGGACCATGAGATAAAGGGCATGCAGATCTGCACCTATTCCCTACAGTGGCATTTCAATTGTATTTCAATAAATAAAGCTTGCCTAAACGTCTGAGAGTAAAACAACCCCACTGGTCAGCCTTACAGTCCAGATAATAGTAAAAACACACCTTTAATCCAAGTAGCCACAGTAGTTTGCCATAGAAACTGGGTGATTCATGCCTTTAATCCTAGTGGTACAGGGCTTTAATCCCAGAACTAGAGAAGATAATAAGATTGGAGAAAACAGTTCTCCGATACAGTCTCATTTTGAGATTCCTAAAAGCAGGATCGCCATTTTGCACTGAGGTAGAAGTATGAGCCAGTGGCTGTGTAGTTTGCTTTTTGAATCATAAGGTTGAATCCCAATTTATACTCCTGAGTTTTTGTTAATTGTGCTTCAATTACCTTTGATTCTAAAATGTTGTAACAGACATAAGGCTATCATTACCTCATTTCTATGGTGAACGAGATGAAGAAAGTTGGATAATAAATAATAAACTATGGGGTAACAGCCAAAATTCAAGTTTACTAGCAATGGAAATAAAATATTTTACAAAGTAGAACTAGCAAAAAATTAATAATGTATGGATTATTCGAGATAGACATCAGTGTGATAGTGGGCAAGACCAGTTGAGGCACCCTCTGCTCTGCTGCCCAAGGACCCAGCTTGGGACATCCCAGTTGGAC